ACAATAACATATATCCATGAGAAAACTCATTGGAGCTGGAACCTAGAACCCATGAACCAGTGTCCTGGGTTCGATCTCCCGTCCAGACACACATTTTTTGTGATTTCCTTGTATGTTTGAAGGGAGCATTTAGTGAAGAACTCATTGCCTACACCAGACGATGTGGGTTATATGTAAAACTTGGAATGGCTACAAAGTTGGTGACTCCAGACGCCTAACGGACCCAGGCAGATTCTAGATTATCTTGAGATGATTTCGGGGCTTAACGTCCCCGCGGCCCGGTCCTCGACTAGGCCTCCATTTTGTTACACACCCCTCTAGGAAACAGCCCGTAGCAGCTGTCTAACTCCTAGGTACCTATTTAATGCTAGGTAACAGGGGCATCAGGGTGAAAAAAAATCTGCCCATTTGTTTCCGCCATCGATCCCCGGTCCACAGGACTACGAATTCGTAGCGCTGACCACTCAGCCACAGACCCTTAGTGGTAGGTTATGTATTCTTCAGAGTATTTTACTCCACGAGTTAAGTATGCCATTTGTGAGTCAAGGATTGCCTATTCTTTTGTGAGTGATTAATTATCAATGAGTTAATTATCAATGAGTTAGAACAAATAGCATATGTCTGCCCAGTATGTGAAGTAAAGCGACACATATAGCTGCAGGTATATACGCTATTTGGTCTAAAGTTAATGATAATTAATCATTCACAAGAGATTAAACAATTCCTGGCTCACAAATGGCACACTTAAGGTAATGAACAAAAACATGGTTATTTACTGAAAGGTATCTTTACCGCCTGCCTGAAGTTTTCAAGTGTAGGCTACTAGAGTCGACTCATACTATATACCACAAACCATGCTGAGAGATGGGGATATTATTATGTGAACCAAACTAGATTTTGATTTAAAGTCTCTAACCCCCATATATATGGTGCTGTGTACATAGGCTCATTAATAATAACAGAAAATCCCACCAAGCATTGTAACGCATCATCCTATTGCGTGATAAGGATGGAGCTCACAGCCTTCAGGAGATTAATAAAAAGAGACGTGGATATACTATAGGGTTGAGGAATTCCTAGGTCACTCTGAACTGGAAGTATGAGATTCTAATTTAAGAACATAAATAAATAAAAATAAATAAATAAATAAATAAATGTTTATTCAGGTAAGGCACATAAAATGCGTTCAAAAGGAATTACCGGAAAAATAGGCAGATGGATCTACAATTTCCTGACCAACAGAACCCAATGTGTAATAGTCAACAAAATAAAATCCAGCCCATCTACCGTGAAGAGCTCAGTCCCCCAGGGTACTGTGCTTGCTCCAGTACTTTTTCTCATCCTCATTTCGGACATAGACAAGAACACAACCTATAGCACTGTATCATCCTTTGCAGATGACACTAGGATCTTCATGAGAGTAGGCAACATAGAGGACACGGCGAACCTCCAGTCAGATGTAGATCAGGTCTTTCTATGGGCTACAGAAAATAATATGGTGTTTAACGAAGATAAGTTCCAGCTCATGCGCTATGGAAAAAAATGAAAATATAAAAACGGAAACCACGTACAAAACTCAGGCAAATCATAACATAGAACGAAAAGGCAATGTAAAGGAACTGGGTGTACTCATGTCGGAAGACCTTACCTTTAAAGAACACAATAAAGTAGCCGTCACAACTGCAAGAAAAATGACAGGTTGGATAACAAGAACTTTTCACACTAGAGATGCTAAACCGATGATGATACTTTTCAAAACGCTT